TTCAACCGTCAGCTGTAAATATTTAAATACAACACAGATTTTTAAATCGTATTTTGAAATTATTTTTTGAAATTTCAAATCTGTTTCACTTCTGTGCTTCTGTGTGTACGCATGTCTTTCCCTGGACTTGTTTACATATATGGCTTTTTTTTCTCTCTCGCTCTTTCGGTCAGTTTTTCTCTTAATTTGTGTATCTCCGTCTGTGTTTCTGTGCGTGTCTTGGTGTTTCTCTATTTATGTAACTCGGCTTCTGTGTTTCTCTCTATGTGCGTACATTTCTGCATGTTTTTCTCTGTGTGCGTTCATTTCGCGTCTGTGTTTCCCTCTGTGTGTGTCTCTGTGTCTGTGTTTCTTTCGATGTGTGTGTCTCGGCGTCTGTGCTTCTTTCGATGTGTGTGTCTCTGCGTCTGTGGTTCACTCGAGTGTCACAGAGTCTGTATTTTTCATGATGTGTGTGTCACTGCATTTGTGTTTCTATTTATGTGCGCTTGTCTTTGAACCTGTGCTTCTCCCCATGCGCGTGTATCTCTGTGCAGGTGTTACTTTGTCTAAAATTCTCGCTGTGGCTAAGTTTCTCTCTCTGCCATTCCCTCTTCGTCTGTGTTTCCCTTTCCGCCATTCTGAATGCGTCCGTGTTTCCCTTTCCGCCATTCTCTCTGCGGCCGCGTTTCGCTTCACGCCATTCTCTCTGCGCCTGTGTTTCGCACATTGCCATTCTCTCTGCATCCGTGTTTCTCTTTCTGCCATTCTATCTGCGTCCGTGTTTCTCTTTCTGCCATTCTATCTGCGTTCGTGTTTTCCTTTCTGCCATTCACTCTGCGTCCGTGTTTCCCTTTCTGCCATTCTATCTGCGCCTGTGTTTCTCTCTCAGTCATTCTTTCTGCAGCTGTGTTTCTGTCTGTGCCATTTTCTCTCTGCCTGTGTATCCCCACTGTCATTCTGAATTGCCGTGTGTTTCCCTCTCTGACATTCTCTCTGCGTCTGTGTTTCCTTCTCTGCCATTCTGCCTTCGCCCGTGTTTCCCTTTCTGCCATATCTGTCTGCGGCCGTGTTTCCCTTTCTGTCATTCTCTGTGCGTCCGTGTTTCCCTTTTCTGCCATTCTATCTGCGTCCGTGTTTCCCTTTCTGCCATTCTCTGTGCGACCGTGTTTCCCCTTCTGTCATTCTATCTGCATCCGTGTTTCTCTCTCAGCCATACTCTCTGCAGCCGTGTTTCTCTCTGTGCCATTTTCTCTTTGCCTGCGTATCCCGCACTGCCATTCTGAATGCCCCTGTGTTTCCCTCTCTGACATACTGCGACTGTTTTTTCCTCTCTGCCATTCTCTCTTCGCCCGTGTTTTCCTTTCTGCCATTCCCTCTGCCTCTGTGTTTCGCACATTGCCATTCTCTCTGCTCCTGTATTTCTTTCTCTGCCATTCTCTGTCCGCTCCAGTTTCGCACTCTGCCATTCTTGACAGGTGTCTCCATCTCTGCTCTTTCTGTCTGCGTCTGTGTTTCCCTCCAAGCCATTCTCTCTGCGTCTGTGTTTCCCTTTCTGCCATTCACTTTGCGTCTGTGTTTCCCTTTATGACATTCTCTGTACGTCTGTGTTTCTCTCTCTGCTATTCTCTCCTCTCTGCTCCTGTTGCTCTCCCTGCCATTCTCTCTCTGTCCGTGTTTCGCATTCTGCCATTCTTTTTGCGTCTGTGTTTCCCTCTCCGCCATTCCCTTTGCGCCTGTTTTTCCATTTCTGATATTCTGTCTGCTCGTGCGCTTCTCTCTATGACATTATTTCTCTGTCTGGATATCACGCACCGCCATTCTACCTGGACCCGTATTTCCCTCTCTGCCATTCTCTATGTACCATTGTTTCTCTCTCAGTTCATTTCTTTGAGCTTGTGTTTTCATTGCTGTCATTCTCTCTGCGCCAGTGTTTCTCTCTCAGTTCTTTTCTTTGAGCTTGTGTTTTCATTGCTGTCATTCTCTCTGCGGCCGTGTTTCTCTCTGTGCCATTTTCTCTCTGGCTGTGTATCCCGCACTGTTATTCTGAATGGCCCTGTGTTTCCTTCTCTGCCATTCTCTCTGCGCCTGTGTTTCCCTTTCTACCATTCTCTCTACGTCTGTGTTTCGCACATTGCCATTCTATCTGCGTATGTATTTCTCTCCCTAACATTCTCTCTGCCCCTGTGTTCTCTCTCAGCTATTTTTCGTCTGCTCGAGTTTCACACTCTGCCAGTCTATCTTAACATGTTTTTCCCTCTCTGCCTTTCCGTCTGCGTCCGTGTTTCCCTTTCAGCCATTCTCCTTGCGTTATTGTTTCCCTTTCTGCAATTCTCTCTGCGTCTCTGTTTCTCACTCAGCCATTCCCTCTGAGTCTGTGTTTCTCTCTCTCTCTCTCTGCCATTCTCTCTCTGCCCGTGTTTCGTACTATGGCATTCTCTCTGAACCTGTGTTTCTCTCTCTGCCATTCTCTGCGTCTGTGTTTCTCTCTCTTCTATTCTCTCTACTCCTGTGTTTTTCTCTCTGTCATTCTCTGTCCGACTGTGTTTCACAATCGGCCACTCTCTCTGCACCCGTGTTTCTCTCTCTCTCTCTCTCTCTTCCATTCTCTCTGCGCCCGTATTTCTCTCTCTCTCTCTCTCTCTGTCATTCCATTTGCGCCTTTTTTCCCTCTCTGACATTCTATCTGCTCATGTGTTTCTCTCTACGCCATTTTTTCTTCGTCTATTCATCCCGCACTGTCACTCTGTATGGTCTCGTGTTTCCCCCTCTGCCATTCTCTATGCGCCTGTGTTTCTGTTTATGACATTCTCTCTACGTCTGTGTTTCTCTCCCAGTCTTTTTTCTCTGCGCCTGTGTTTCCATCGCTGCCATTCTCTCTGCGACCGTGTTTCTCTCTATGCCATTCCCTCTCCACCTGTGTATTCCAAACTGCCATTCTGTACGTCCCTGTGTCTCGCTCTCCATCATTCCCTCTGCGTTTGTGTTTCCACTGCCTGTGTTTCCCATGTCTATAGGAGATGGCAGAATTAGCTACCATAGAGAAGATTGCAGCGTTAGCTACTATTATCTTTAACATAACAGTTCAACCATCTTTTCTCTGTTTCTAACGATATTTTCCAATCTCTTAATACTTTACATGATTTCTAGAAGACACCTTTCACTAATCTTATACGTCTTCTTTTTTGTTTTTTTGTTTTACATTGTCCGTCGTCTGTTCCTACTCACCCCCGATAGTTAAATGTATGTGCCTGCTTAATTTTGACGTTCCTAATATGTATCTCCCGATTTGGGCTGTCTCTTTTGCTGACAACCATTCTTACTATTAGCTGTTAGTCTATGCTTTTCACTCCTAACAAATAAAAAAATAAAAGAATCCCGTTTTCCTCTTATTCTTGTCATTGTATTAATGTCATAAATGTATTTGCAAACATAAATCCATCTTCTATGTGGCGTGTAACTTCGGGACATATGCGATCATGGCTCTCCTATCCCGCGTGGCTCTGAGCACCGTTTCCCTTTTTGCCAATATACCTGTCCAAGGTTTCATTATCCATTTGCACAAGCTCGTCAGGGTAGGCGGACTCTTGCCTTCTCCTATCTCACTTTGACACGATATGCCTTGTGAGGGTTAAGTTTCCAAGCCCTCTTCCCTTATTCTGTACCCAAGATACTTCATCTGTCTCTTTCTGATTCTAAGTGTATTTCTGTTGCCATTTTCCTTAAAACTTCCACGTTACTCGCTCCGTTCATAGTCGTCTCAGCATCATTGTGTTGTACCACCTTCCTGCTGCCTAGAGTTTTCTCTTCATATACAGGAGAGATTACTCAGCATTCACTGCCATACAAGAGGATGGATATTGCATAGCAGCTTAGAAAAAATTCTTAAACATAAATTAGCCATCAATAATGAGTAAATCAGTAATGTTTCTCTGGTATCTCAGTCTCCCTATATCTATCTATCTATCTATCTATCTATCTATCTATCTATCTATCTATCTATTTAGATCTATGTCAATCTGTTTAGATCTATCTCAATCACCTTAGGTCTATCTATCTATCTATCTATCTATCTATCTATCTATCTATCTATTTAGATCTATGTCAATCTGTTTAGATCTATCTCAATCACCTTAGGTCTATCTATCTATCTATCTATCTATCTATCTATCTATCTATCTATCTATCTATTTAGATCTATATCAATCTGTTTAGATCTATGTCAATCACCTTATTTCTATCTGTCTATCTCAATCACCTTAGGTCTATCTATCTATCTATCTATCTATCTATCTATCTATCTATCTATCTATCTATCTATCTCTTTACATCTATTTATCCATCTCAGTCTCTTTAGATCTATTTATCTAGATTTTTAATGAAGTAAGGTAATAAATCCACTAAGCCGCAAGGGTTTACTGAGTGTTGGAAAAACACCATTAAAGAGAACGAATAATAAAAAAAGAACAATAATTAAGAAGACAGACGATAACAATTAAAATTGCGTTTAAATTTTGGAAGATCAACGATGACGTTTTAGAGAAAATGAAAACAAAAAGGAAGAGACTATTGAGGTTTCTAGTTCATATAATAAGAAAAGATGGCTTGGAAAATCTGATACTCACAGAACAGGCTGAAGGCAAGAGGGAGATAGGAAAACAACGCATATCATACTTAATGGAACAGAATTCAGGAGAATCACAGAAAAACAAAAGTCATTAAGAGCTGCAAGGGACAGAAAATTGAACTGACTGAACGCGGAACATATAGAAGAAGAAATGTATAGCATCTATGCAATAATGTCCAGGCGAGATAGTAAACCTTTATTGTTTCTGGGTTATTTTTGGTACTTTTAAATTTGTCCTGAACATGAATAGGTCACTCATATACTTATTGATATATTTTTTTAATAAGAAACTTGTTTTAATTCGGGTTTCATACTTCGTTGTCTGCGACGCATGCAGCACTCATATCGATACCAAGGCGATTCCTAGAGGCTGATTTTATATAGATCATAGATCATGTTTTTCCCTCTCTGCCTTTCCGTCTGCGTCCGTGTTTCCCTTTCAGCCATTCTCCTTGCGTTATTGTTTCCCTTTCTGCAATTCTCTCTGCGTCTCTATTTCCTTCTCTGCCACTCATTCTGCGCCTGTATTTCTTTTTCTGCCATTCTCTCTGCGCCTGTGTTTCTTTTCTGCCACTCATTCTGCGCCTGTGTTTCTTTTTCTGCCATTCTCTCTCCTGTGTTTCTGATTTTGCCATTCTCTCTGCGCCTGTGTTTCTTTTCTGCCATCATTCTGCGCCTGTTTCTTTTCTGCCATTCTCTCTGCGCCTGTGTTTTTCTTTTTCTGCCATTCTCTCTGCGCCTGTGTTTTTTTTCTGCCATTCTCTCTGCGCCTGTGTTTCTTTTTCTGCCACTCATTCTGCGCCTGTGTTTTTTTCTGCGCCTATGTTTCTTTTCTGCCATTCTCTCTCTGCGCCTGTGTTTCTTTTTCTGCCACTCATTCTGCGCCTGTGTTTCTTTTTCTGCCATTCTCTCTGCCCTGTGTTTCTTTTCTGCCATTCTCTGCGCGTCTGTGTTTCTTTTTCTGCCACTGTTCTCTGCGCCTGTGTTTCTTTTCTGCCATTCTCTCTGCGCCTTTCTGTTTCTTTTCCCATTCTCTCTGCGCCTGTGTTTCTTTTCTGCCATTCTCTCTGCGCCTGTGTTTCTTTTTCTGCCATTCTTCTGCGCCTGTGTTTCTTTTTCTGCCATTCTCTCTGCGCCTGTGTTTCTTTTCTGCCATTCTCTCTGCGCCTGTGTTTCTTTTCTGCCATTCTCTCTGCGCCTGTGTTTCTTTTCTGCCACTCATTCTGCGCCTGTGTTTCTTTTTTCTGCCATTCTCTCTGCGCCTGTGTTTCTTTTTCTGCCATTCTCTCTGCGCCTGTTTTCTTTTTCCCTCTCTGCGCCTGTGTTTCTTTTTCTGCCATTCTCTCTGCGCCTGTGTTTCTTTTCTGCCATTCATTCTCTGCGCCTGTGTTTCTTTTTCTGCCATTCTCTCTGCGCCTGTGTTTCTTTTTTCTGCCATTCTCTCTGCGCCTGTGTTTCTTTTCTGCCATTCTCTCTGCGCCTGTGTTTCTTTTTTCTGCCACTTTCTGCGCCTGTGTTTCTTTTTCTGCCATTCTCTCTGCGCCTGTGTTTCTTTTCTGCCATTCTCTCTGCGCCTGTGTTTCTTTTTTCTGCCATTCTCTCTGCCCTGTGTTTTCTTTTCTGCCATTCTCTGCGCCTGTGTTTTCTTTTTGCCATTCTCTCTGCCTTTTTCTTTTCTGCCATTCTCTCTGCTGCCTGTGTTTCTTTTTTCTGCCATTCATTCTGCGCCTGTTTCTTTTTCTGCCATTCTCTCTGCGCCTGTGTTTCTTTTTCTGCCACTCATTCTGCGCCTGTGTTTCTTTTTCTGCCATTCTCTCTGCGCCTGTGTTTCTTTTTCTGCCATTCTCTCTGCGCCTGTGTTTCTTTTTCTGCCATTCTCTCTGCGCCTGTGTTTCTTTTTCTGCCACTCATTCTGCGCCTGTGTTTCTTTTCTGCCATTCTCTCTGTGTTTCTTTTCTGCCATTTCTCTCTGCGCCTGTGTTTCTTTTCTGCCATCATTCTGCGCCTCTTTTTCTGCCATTCTCTCTGGATTCTCTCTGCGCCTGTGTTTCTTTTTTCTGCCACTCATTCTGCGCCTGTGTTTCTTTTCTGCCATTCTCTGCGCCTTGTTTCTTTTTTCTGCCATTCTCTGCGCCTGTGTTTCTTTTTTTTCTGCCATTCTCTCTGCGCCTGTGTTTCTTTTTCTGCCACTCATTCTGCGCCTGTGTTTCTTTTTCTGCCATTCTCTCTGCGCCTGTGTTTTTTCTGCCATTCTCTCTGCGCCTGTGTTTTTCTTTTTCTGCCATTCTCTCTGCGCCTGTGTTTCTTTTTTGCCATTCTCTCGCCGCCCTCTCTGCGCCTATGTTTCTTTTCTGCCATTCTCTCTGCGCCTGTGTTTCTTTTCTGCCATTCTTCTTTCTTTTTCGCCATTCTTTTCTTTTTCTTTTTCTCATTCTCTGCGCCTGTGTTTCTTTTCTGCCATCTCTCTGCGCCTGTGTTTCTTTTTTCTGCCATTCTCTGCGCCTATGTTTCTTTTTCTGCCATTCTCTCTGCGCCTGTGTTTCTTTTCTGCCACTCATTCTGCGCCTGTGTTTCTTTTCTTTTCTCTGCCATGTTTCTTTTTGCCATTCTCTCTGCGCCTGTGTATCTTTTTCACCCTCATTCTGCGCCTGTGTTTCTTTTTCTGCCATTCTCTCTGCGCCTATGTTTCTTTTCTGCCATTCTCTCTGCGCCTATGTTTCTTTTTCTGCCATTCTCTCTGCGCCTGTGTTTCTTTTTCTGCCATTCTGCGCCTGTGTTTTTTCTGCCATTCTCTCTGCGCCTATGTTTCTTTTTCTGCCATTCTCTGCGCCTGTGTTTCTTTTTTTCTGCCAATTCTCTCTGCGCCTGTGTTTCTTTTTCTGCCACTCATTCTGCGCCTGTGTTTCTTTTTCTGCCATTCTCTCTGCGCCTATGTTTCTTTTTCTGCCATTCTCTCTGCGCCTGTGTTTCTTTTTCTGCCACTCATTCTGCGCCTGTGTTTCTTTTTCTGCCATTCTCTCTGCGCCTATGTTTCTTTTTCTGCCATTCTCTCTGCGCCTATGTTTCTTTTTCTGCCATTCTCTCTGCGTCTTTTCTCTCTACGCCATTTCATGACGTCATTTCATTGAATCCTTGCGGGCCACTAAAAAGTTGATGGCAGGTCAGTTCAGGACCCGCGAGTCAGTGGTTCGCCATCACTGACAAAGGTCTTAGCATTATCTCACGACGAACAGATAGATTCAAAGAAATCTCAAAACAATATTCATTCCGCAGTTACAAATTTCGTAAAAGGTTTTCTCGCATATAGTTTTAATAGATTTGTACAAAATCGAAATGAGAAAATAAATTCAGACAATAACTCACCGATAAATTTCGAGGATGGGTCTCGTCTTTCATAGGCTACGCGTCAACTATTTAGGCTTCCTTAAATTAACCGTCCCATTTGGTAGATGATAGACATTAATGAATCATAGATAAAAACCTATAATTAAAATTGTAATTTTTTTTAGTAACCTGTTAATTGATACTGGAATTATGTAAAGAGACTTATACCACCGGATTGTTTTTGTTTTAGAAGCTTGTATTTAATAGAAAATATATTTTTTTAGGAAATCTCAGAATCGCATTGGTTGAACGTGTAAGTAACGAGGAAGTTGTAAGGAAAATGGAAACAAAAAGGATGCTTATACGTAGAATCAGAAAGAGATAATTGAACTTTCTAGGGTATAAAATGAGGAAAGAAGGCTTGGAGAATCTCACAAATGTGGGGCAAGGCCGAAACTATGGGGCACCCAGTCAGGTTCGAACTCACTATTCATTCGTAACTGATCTAGAAATCAAATATAAGAAATACATAAATAACTTATTTGAAGTAATAAAGATGTTGAAGTGCCCATAGCCGAACACTTATGAAATATGTTTTCCTTCGTATTTTATTGGTCCAGCGGTAGAAGTTTATCTTGCATAACAATTGCTTGATTTTTCCGTGCACTCACGTTGCTACCGAATGTGACACAAGGTCAGTTAAAAGTGTGTTTAACGGCAATACCGTGAATAAATTCTCAAGCCCACTCGGACGCCGGGCCATAAACCTAGTCCCTCCCGGATGAGAGGTACTGCCTAGTGGGAACGATCCCTGGAGTTTAAGAGAATATTATTGGTAGAGGAGGAAACCGCCTCAACCGGTCAGCTTAACAGCAATACCGTGTAAAAATTACCCGAGCAAGCACTTCCCCTTTTGAGGACGCTTCAGGCGCCGGGCAATAAACCCAACTCCCTCCCAAACTAGATGTACTGCCTGGTGGTGGGTCGTAGGGGGGGAGTCCTGGTGCTTGAGCAAATATTGGGAGAGGAGCGAATCCCGAGTAGTAGAGATTTATTTGACCTCCCCCCACTGAGTCAGGTTGTGACACAGGATTAGTTTAAAACGTGGGGACCTGAGTGTTTTCACTCGGGGCGCTGGTCCAAGCTGGTTATAGCTGGTCTAAGCTAGTCATAATTGGTCTTTATTGTCATAGCTGGTCGAAGCTGGTCAGAACCGGTCCAACTAGTCGTAACCGTGATACCTCCAGCACAGGGACGGAGCTCTGGGCCAGGTAAGTATGCCTCTGCCGAGTAGTGAGATTTACTTGACCCCCAACTGAGTCAGGTTGTGACACAAGGTCAGTTTTTAACGTGGGGTCCATGCTGGTCATAGCTTGTCCAAGTTGGTCAGAGCTGGTCTTGGCTTTTAATAGCTAGCCCAAACTGGTCAGATCCGGTCCAAGCTAGTCGTAGCCGTGATACCACCTGCACAGGGACGGAGCCCTGGGCCAGGTAAGTGTATTTACTTGCCCCCCCACACACACACTGAGTCAGGTTGTGACACAAGGTCGGTTTTAAACGTGGGGACCCGAGTGTTTTCACTCGGGCCGTTGGTCCAAGCTGGTCTTAGCTTATCATAGCTTGTCCAAGCTGGTCAGAGCTGGTCTAAGATAGTTATAGCTGGTCTTGGCTTGTCCTAGCTGGTTCAGGCCTGAGCCGGTCCAAGCTAGTCCTAGCCGTGATACCATCAGCCCAGAGACGAGCCCTGTGCCAGGTAAGTATGCCTCTGCCGAGTAGTATTTACCTTACCTTTACTGCTTGATATTTATATAGTCTAGTTCTTAGTTATGCAAATTAAGCAGTCATTCACATATCACTACACACTCTTCAGACATACTTCATCTAGGTAATTATGAGAAATATTTCTGGCCGTCTCCCGGGTTTTTACCGTTGTGTCTAAGTTTCTATGCGCATTGCAAGTTGCCGTAGAAACGTTTCTCGCCTCAGTAACTTCCCTTCGCCTGTTTACAGCATTAAATTAATCTTCTGGGTGGCAGGCTTAAAATCACATATTAAATAGCTATGCCAGATAAACAAAATTCAGATTTAATAAAATATAGTTGAAGCGCAAACCACACTGAACAGATAAAACATTAACTTCTTCGAAGAGATCTTCAGCTTTTAATTTCTGGCTTTCCAACGTATAATCATCCAGTTCAGTCATCCATAAAGAATATCTTAACTGCCTATTAGTACTTCAAAAATTATGGAGTTGGACACAGTGATGGAGATTCAGTGGCATTGTTATACGGTTTTAATCGTTTCTCGGCTTCAAAGCAAGCAAGCAAAAAAAGAAATAAAACAAATAATTTAGTAGGAAAAGGGAAAGAGACAGAGTCCACCATTTTGTCTGTAACTTGACTGTGGTGCGCAAGTATTTACTACAAAGGCTTACAATAAAAATACATAATGTAGCATTTAATAGTAAATACATGTCGCTTCTTTGCGAGGAAACCTATTTGAAGTCTTTTTTAGCAATGGATACATTTTCAAGGAGAGTATTAGAGATATGTCTGGTTGCTGAAAAGCTAACCTTTTTACAATCAAGACAACATTTTCAAGGAGAGTATCCGGGATATGCTTGGGTGCTGAGAAGCTACCTTCTTTACAATCAAGACAACATTTTCAAGGAAAGTGTCAGGGATATGCTTGAGTTCTGAAAAGCTATCATTTCTACAATCCAGACAAAATTTGTTCAAGGAGAGTATCCTGCGTGCTGAGAAGCAATTCATTTTAAAATTCTGCCAAAAAATTTTCAGTGAGTATTAGAGATATGTCCGGATGCTGAAAAGTTAACCTTTTTTACAATCAGGTCACCATTTTAAGTATCAGGGTTATAGGTGTGTGCTGAGAACCTATCTTTTTTACAATCCAAACGTCATGTGGATTATCAGGAATATGTCTGGGTGGTGAAACGCTATCTTTTTTAAAATCCAGACAGGTGGGGAAACGAATTGTGTTTCTAACGTTGCTAGCCGTGGCAATCTGGATGACTCGAAAGGAGGGAATCTTGCGACACGAACACTATTCTCATCAGGCTCTGATCGGATTCTTTCAGCATCAGCTGAAAGTGAAGATTAGAACTGATAGAAAGCGTTTCAGATTTCAACGAAAGGTGGGTGAAAATAGCGAGCTTGGTTCGTGTGAAAGGTGCTAGTCTTGAGTTCCTTTTTTAAGTCCTCTTCGTCACAACAGGGCGGTTTCCTGTGGACCCTCCCTTGATTAAGTTAGACTCTCTTTTGTGTACCTCATTAATGTGAGTCAGTGTCGTTTCCAGCCTGTTCCTGGCTCCCTTCTTTTGGCTATGATCCAAGTTGACATTCCCAACCTCCCCAGTTTGTTTTTGATCCTTTTAATCTCGACTGGTTCAGTCTTTGATTTCCCCACGTCCACAATTATTTTATCCTTCCCATTCCGTTAGGGAGTTAGCCTCTTGATTCTATCTGATGACAGAATTCAGCGAAACTCTTGTTTTTGTGGGGTAGACGGGTCCTACTAACATCTGTTATTTTCTGTTTTACATTTGTTATATTTGTTTGATATTGGATTCATACCCCTCCTCCTCATTTCATACCATCTTCAAATTTATATATATATATATATATATATATATATATATATATATATATTATTACGAACATAGGGAATTTTTAAATCATGGGGTTTATTTTGTAGGTTCCCTTTGTGTATGGGGTATTGTGGTATATGTAGGAGTAAAAGGTGAAAGATGTCTTCTCTTGGCATATGTGTTATTTGTATTGAATAAATGGTCTGTGAATTGGATTAGTTAGGTATAGGATAGTTAATGATGACCAGCCCCCACTTTTTGGGCTATGTGCCGCAATTATTGTATTTTACAATAATAAATATTTACAATCCAGATAGCATTTTCGGGGAGAAAATCATGGAGTGCTACGAAGCTATCCTTTTCACAATCCAGATAACATTTTCAAGGAGAGCGTCAATGGTATGCCTTAGTACCGTGAAGCTATCTTTTTTACACTCCGGTTATCTAGTTCAAGTAGAGTATCAGGGATATACCTTAGTTCTGAGAAGCTATCCCTAGAGCATGATGTTCCCAATTTAGGATGCTCGGACCATCAGGAAATGAAAGGAATTTGATGAGAGTGGCTTGTGTCCTTAAATGACTTGTCTTCATCAAGCCAATTGCCATTATACCCATGAGACGATTAGGGGCAGTTTCTCACCCCCGGTCCGTCGTCTCAAATTCGTCACCAGTAGCTCGATACCACGGTGATCGTCGGCGGTCATATCTCTCTGCAATGTTCTGTCCTTTGTAGCTCTTAATAATGTTTATATTTTCCCCATTTCACAAACCCTCCTCCGTCAACCATTCGCTTAAGCTCTCTAAGTAGGTTGTGCGTTGATTCTTTTTCTTTCAATCTGTCTTGTGAGTATCAAATTTTCCAAGGCTTCTTTCCTTATTATGTGCCCCAGAAATTTCATCCTCTCCCTGATATTAAGCATGATATCCTTTTCCTTGCCATTGTCTCTAGAACTTCGTCGCTATTCACATATTCAGCCCATGGTATTCTCAACATCCTTCTGAAGAACCACATTTAAGCTGAATTTATTAATAAAAATTGTTATTTTATTATAACCAATCTTTAAATTCTGTTCACTTTTGTCAATAAACATCTGGAAATCATTTGAATGCACAGGCAGACGTCTCTGCCTTCCATCAGCAGTGCAGATGCTAACCTCTATGAAAGTGACTTGTTGCTCCTCATCGGGCTAACATTCTCAGGTGACATGAAGCAGAAAGACGAT